GCTGGAGGCACTAGTTTACAAAATACACAATCTGGGTTTCCCAGATTACATCACAAACATCACCAAATCCTACCTAACAGGTAGAAACTTTGTCGTTCACGTCTCAGGAACAAATTCTAATCTACACCCCATAAGGGCAGGGGTCCCTCAGGGGTCCCTTTTAGGGCCCACCTACTTTAATATTTACGTGAACGACATCCCTACAACACAGGACACAACACTGGCTATGTATGCCGATGACACAGCAATCCTCACACAAAGTGCATTTGCTGGTTCAGCTATCCAACATTTACAAAATTACATACATGCACTGGAGACTTGGCTCACACAGTGGAAAATAAAAGTCAACATTGACAAGACGCAAGCCATCTTGTTTACCAGGAAAAAGAAATTCAAGAAAAATCTTGTCATGTACGGCAGTTCTATCCCCTGGGCCAAGCAAGTCCCTTATCTTGGGGTGATCCTCAGTAAAACTCTGTCATGGAACCCACACATCACAAATATTATCAATAAGTTTCGAGCCCGTAAAGCTCAACTCTTCCCCTTAATTGCTCGAAACAGTGTTTTGTCTATAGATAACAAGTTACTCATTTATAAATCCATATTGCGTCCATTACTATGCTATGCATGTCCTGTATGGGCGTACTCATGTAATAGGTATCGAGGCAAATTACAAACAGCACAAAATTGTATTCTTCGACAAATAGCCAACGCACCCTGGTACGTGCGAAATAAAAAGATACATGAAGAACTGGGCGTTCGCCCTCTAAAGTCTGTGTATTATAGAATAGCAAAAAGATTCCATAGCAGGCAGCTAGAAATTCAAAACCCTGCCATTAAGATACCTGAGTACGACCCATACAATCTGGACAACAAATACAGGCCTTTGGCCATATTAAATGAATGGATAATGTAGCATAGCATAGTAATGTATTTCTGCTTAATATAATCATTTATTTTTTGTAACACCTTCTTTATGTATATTATATATTATTGTCGCATTATTATTCTATGTATGTATATATGTATATATTTATTTACCAAGGGCTGGTATCACTTTGTGCACTGCTTGTGTTTAAACATCTTGACTTCCAGGTTTTTCACCACTCGACAGCTTTCTGGCCTTTTAGTCCTTTACAGCAACTGGAAAAGTAACCTGTAATACAGGAAATAGGATTTTAGCATTTTTTATATACAAAAAACCCTAAAATAAACCCAAAAAAATCAAAAAATTCAAAATATACATAAAAATGTATAAAAAAAATAAAAAAAAAAAAAGACTAATCTGTAAAAAATTAATGAAAAAGCAAGAAATCGAAATGTCTAAATCATATTCTACAAGGGGTAGGGGTTCACGAGCAAGCGAAAATGTCGTGAGAAACTGGGCCTGAAGCACTAAAGCAGATATATAGCGCCAAAATAACAAGCGTAAAGCTACTTGGACTCGCAATTATTGTGACGAATATTTACGCTTTGGGTTCATTGCCGGCGGCAGTCAAAATAATTTGCCGCTGGGTGTTATTTGCAATGAGCAACTTTCAAGCGAAAGTATGAAACCGTCAAAGTTGAAACGGCATTTAAACACACTCCATTCTGAATACTCTGACAAGCCAATTAACATTTTTTACTGATAAGAAAAATGAATTGATTGCTGCTAAAAAAATGAAAAATACTCTCTTACCTCACCAGTCAAATAAAAACCTCACTTTGACATCTTTTGAAATTTCCAAATTAATAGCTGAAATTGGGTATCCTCATAGTGCTGGAGAAAAATTAATACTTCCCGCTTTGAAAATTGTCGCAAATAGTTTAAGCGGAATAAAGGAAAAATGTTTATTTTCGGCGATGCCATTATCAAACAATACAGTTAAACGGAGAATTGATGATTGCGCGAAACATTTAGAAGAACTATTGCTCAAGTAAAAAAAGAGCAAGTTTTTTTCCCTTGCAAATAGATGAAAGCACAGATATTAAGGATAATGAAAATCTAATGTGTTTAATTAGATATATTGACCAAGACACCATACAGGAAAATTTTTTATTTTGTAAAAGACTACCGACAAGAACGACCTCAGATGAAATTTTTAAGGCTAGCAATGATTTTGTCACTAGTCACGGTATTGATTGGATGAAGTGTGTTGGGCTAAGTAGCGACGGAGCACATGCGATGGCAGGCTGTCATAAAGGTTTGTTTAAATACATTCAAGAATTAACAATTAATTGTGTATGGGTGCTCTGTAGTATCCATAAACAAGCGTTGGCGGTAAAACAAATGCCTTTAAATTTAAATATGACTTTGGAAGAGAATGTGTCACGTTTGTAAACTATATAAAGTCTCGTCCATTAAATAGCAGAATTTTTATCGAATTATGCAAGGAAATGGGGAGTGATCATAAACAACTTCCTTTTCTATTGTAATTCATGATGGCTTTCAAAAGGAAACGTTTTAAACCGTCTGTTTGAGCTAAACCGTCTGTTTGAGCTTTGGTATTTCTGAATGAACCCCCATCATATAAAAAATGCTACTTTTCCATTGAAGGTGTAGACTTCCTCACTTTATAATTCTAAGTTAATGTTGGAAGTGAAGAATCTTAAGAACTGATGGTGGTAGTGGTGTGGTGTGTATTTAATTATGGCAAAGCACACTAGGGCTATCTGCCTAAAGGGAGGGATGCCTTCGTGGAGGACTTTCTAAGGGAAACGGGCTCGTATACACGTTACACATGGGGAAAACCACGAAAACACCCATGCAGACAGCCCGTTCGCGGAATTCGAACCTCGGACCGAACTACCAGTGTTCAGCGACTTTACCGCTCGGCCTCTGGTGGGCCTTAAGAACTGATAAGCGAATAATCGCTTAAGTTCGGGAGACAAGAAACAACAAGATAGAAGGGTAACTAATCCTTTATTATTCCATTAAGATCTAACAAAACTCCGCCTGAGAGTGTACAAACAAAGCCCTCACTTGGGCTTGAACTTAAGGGACTAAGAATTAAACTAAAACTAAGGTTAACTAAAGAAATATAGCCGAAGCTATCAAGATTCAAATCGAGTTGGCCCCTTCACTTATTTGACTACGAAGCTTAACAAGGGCCTGAGTATGGCCGAGGGTAATAACAGCTTTGAGAGAGAGAGTGACCAAAAAGGCAGACGCGCGTAATTCAGAAACTCGGATTCTCTCTGACTCAGTAAGTAACTTCGTGGTTTAAATACCGCTCCTCATTGAATGTTCAGCAAGATTCCAAAACTACGTTCTGGCCAGAAGTAGTAAGTTGAAGATAAGAATTTGACATGAAAGGAACTTTAACTTAAAATTTAACTGTTAATAAAATTAACATAATCCTTATAAAGGATAGATTCCACAATTTCGAGTTTTTAATGAAAGTAGCTTATTTGGGCGACATTATTTGCTACATTCAATCAATTGAATTTAAATTTGCAAGGCTTTGGTTTAAATATTTTCAAAGTATCGGAAAAAGTCTCTGCAATAATTAAAAAATTGACTCTGTGGAAAGAACTACTTTCAAAAGGAAATTTTAAATCTTTTGAAACATTACATAAATTTATTGAGAGGCTCACCAGCGGCCGAGCGGTAAAGTCGCTGAACACTGGTAGTTCGGTCCGAGGTTCGAATCCAGCGAACGGGCTGGCTGCATGGGCTTTTCTGTGGTTTTCTCCATGTGTAACGTGTATACGAGCCAGTTTCCCTTAGAAAGACCTCCACGAAGGCATCCCTCCTCTTAGGTAGATAGCCCTCGAGGCTTTGCCATAATCACACACACACATAAATTTATTGAAACTTCAAGCTACGATGAAGAAGATTTACATCTTGAAACACTATCAGTTCCAATTCAAGAACGTCTTTCGGAACTAATAAACAGTTTTAAAGACTACTTTCCGGATATTCCTTCAAATAATGTGTGGATTAAAGATCCTTTTTCTGTGGATATTGAAAAGGAAGAAATGCTGAATCTTAGGGAACAAAAAGTTGATCAATTTAATTAAAATTTCATGCGATATCGATCTTAAAAAGTGTTTGAAACTGTACCACTAATTAGTTTTTGGTTGCTCTCTTAAAAGGAATAGCCAAGCTTAAGCGGAAAAGCGATACAATTTTTAATGCCTTTTGTCACAACTTATATGTGTGAAATTGCGTTCTCAGCCTTGGTGTACTTAAAAAATAAGTATCGAAACAGATTGGATGTCGAACCTAATTTGAGAAAAACATTAACTTCATTAAGCCCTAATTTGAAATTACTATGGCATGAAAAACAACATCATCCTGCGCACTAAGGTCAAAATATGTAAAGCAAAATTTATTTTATTTACTTTAAGTTTTTAAGGAAGATAATGGATTGCCTTTAATTATGTTTTTGTTATATAATTATTTTGCAATTTTTTAGCATGAAATAAACAAACAAATAACTTGAATTTTGATTTTTATTAAAAAATAAAATTTGTTTTGTAAATAAATGTTTTTTTATAAGGTGAGTCGCGAAAAAATTTAAAATCTTGTATCGGGCCGCGGTCAAAAAAGTTTGGGAAACGCTGCTGTAGAAGATTCAAGAGACTTAAAAGCTTATTATTATAATATAATCTTTTGGTAATGATGTAATATGTAATATATTTCGGTAATAATGTAATCTTTTGGTAATATGTGATCTACATCTTTTAGTTAGTTATTTTTTAGATGATGTCACTAAAATTCGTTGTTGTTTTAGTTACTTATTTTTTTCGCCATTTTATTGCACATTCGAATATGACAGCTATTGACTTTTTTATGTTATGAAGCTATTACTATTGAATTATTAAGCTGCTGAAATTAAAATTTTAATAAATTATTAAAATAGTTAATTGAATGATGTTCATTTATGCAGTCTTAATTATTTGCATTTATTTTCCTATTTAAAAAAAGTATTTTAGCAGCATCATTTAAGAAATAACTAACTGACGGAAAGCGGTAGATCGTATATCACATCATTACCATCTTTCTTTTGTAGCTTTAGGTGGTGTATTTCCATATCTACCTGTTCTTGCCAAGGATCTAGGAATAACTGCTGGTGCAGTAGGTGTCGTTTATATAATTGTGCAGTTTGCCGTATTCCTATCTAAACCATTCATTGGCTATTTAGTGGATTATTTCCAGAATATTAAAGTTTTCCTTTTATGTTTTCTTGTGATACCTTCAGTAACTATTTTTTTAATTTCACTCATACCACCCATACCGCATAACATTCAAGAAAGTTTGAACATTGAGCTGCAGTCGCCCAATTATCCTAATAAGTCTATAATCCTTTCTCATAAATACGAGAAGTCTTGCATGATAGCTATGTTATATGACGAAGTAAAATGCAGTCTTATCTTAAATAACACAGGAAGTCATTCAAAGAGTTACATTCAAATGAATGATTCTCTAAGCTCAAACTACTCTGTAGGTCTTTTTCATCCTGATAGCATAAACTTGAATTTCCAGAATTTGTCAAATGTCAGTTCTTTATGGATTTTGCAAGTCGGAGAGAACCTAGATATTGGAAATGTATATAGCGACTTTGATTTTAATAGTTCATCTATATTTTGCGAACCTAATTTAGGGAACTGTCTTCTAAATGGAAATTCAGATCTACATTCTGTGTACACATCTTTTCAATTTTGGATTTTCACATTATTAGTTGTAATTTCATTCATTGGAACTGGAAGTTGCTCATCTTTAACGGATGTGGCATGTTGTGAAGTATTAGGAGATGCGAGAAGAAATTATGGTCAACAAAGACTATGGGGCACTATCGGATGGGCTGTTGTCTGCTCCATAGCTGGTTTGCTCAATGACGTTGCAACTAAGGTAAACAATAAAAAAGATTATTTACCTGGATTTTACCTCATGGTGGCTTTTGTTCTAGTGGATATAGCAATTTTGGCTAGAATAGATATAAAGAAGACTAAGTTGTCAACAAATATGTGTAGTGATATTAGCTCAATTTTCTCCTCTTGTGATATTGTAATTTTTGCGTTTGGTACAATTATAAATGGTTTTTTGTCTTCTGTGATTTACAATTATGAATTCTGGTACCTTGAAGACATGGGGGCTAGTCAGACTTTATGTGGTTTGACAATTGTAATGCAATGTATAATTGGAGAATTACCTTTCTTCGTTATTTCAGGCTGGTTTATTGATAAATTCGGCCATTTCAATTGCGTCGCCGGTTCTTTTATTGGCTTTGTACTACGGTTAGGTTTATATTCATTGATTAGAAACCCGTGGCTTGCCCTTCCGGTTGATATCTTACATGGCCTAACATTTGCGATGTTCCATGCATCTATGACTGGTTTTGCATCTGCTAAAGCACCTGCAGGACTCGAAGCTACAATGCTGGGGTTTTTCGGCGGCTTGCGAGATGGTCTGGGTAAGTTCCTTTAACTCATTAATTTTGTAAGTGATTTAAAAGTATATTATTATTTTATGTTGGATTACATGTGAAATACAAACATTTTCATTGCAACAGAGAAAGTATTTCCGTATTCTGTAAGTTTACGTATTAATTTAGGAGTATTATTTAAGTATGCAAGCTGTTCTATTTCATATGAAGTAAAATGTTTGAAAATTTATCAAAAAAGGAATTGTGAAAAGCTGGTACCTTCTTCTTATTTCTTGTAATATATAGGTTACTAACAATTATATAATAGTAGATTCTGTATATTTAAAATATAAAGGAGAGCCATCAGAAATCCCTGATATAAAAAATATTCAAGTAGCTCTTTTCAATAACTTTGATTTATATCTGATGCTAAATGAAAGTTGTGACCGGCGAAGAAATCCAAGATGCTGAATTATGCTGGACTTTATACTACATTCCTGTAACTATAATTGCCATAATATGGTGTTAAATACTTTCAGATAAACTAATTGTGAAAACAATAAAAGCGTCTACAAAAATGAAATTTAAGCATGGTTCAATGATATGGAGAATATGATAATTTTAGAAAGGCAAAATTATTTTCGATGTTGAAAATCAGTATATTTTATAATAGTATAAATATACTATTCTATTCTTTTAGGTTCAAATTTACTTTTAGTGGAAACAGTCAAGTATGACATCTTAGATAAATAATGACTTGAAATAAAGTTTCGATAAACATCGATGAAAGAAAATTTTAATAAATAAAAATAAATGCTATGCTAGACTTAAAAGAAATACTATACTGCGCAAATTAGTTGGGACAAAGCGATGTGTTTGATAATTTATGAACATACTTTCATATGCAGGGGTAATAATAAAACTAATAGGAAATATTTCTTTCTTTAGCAGAAAAAACCTCTAGGCTGCGCTTAGGCATTGACTCTATTATAGTCTTGGACATACATTTTTTACTTCTTTTTCATGGAACCACACCTTTATAGCAATCTTAATGTCTGTTTTTGCTACAATCGATTTTGCTAATATGTTTCTTAAGAATGTGCCACAAGTTTTCGATCGGATTTAAATCTGGTAGATTTACACGCCAATCTAGCATAATAATTTTATTTTCCAACATGAACTTTCTGACAGATTTCGAATTGTGGCATGAAACCAAGCCAAGCTAAAATGTCTCTGATGTTGTTTAGAGCATAGCCTACGTTTAGTCTACAAGAAAGCATAGCCTACGTTTCAGAATTTTTGTACGCTTCGAGGAATTCATCATCAAGTCAACTACCTTCCAGTATTATCTGTAGTAAACAAAGACCGAAAACATTTATTTTTGAGAGCATTTAACAGTTTATTGGATATGTTGAGGTATTATCCTTACTTGATCTAACAAGGTTGGATGTATAACCTATGAACAAATAAATGTTCGCTGAATAAAGAATCGCTGAAAATGACGTTTTGGCAGGCATTAAGTAGTCCCATATTTGTATTTTTTGGTCCTAGTGTTTTGGTACAATAATCATTTTTGCTTTATTTGATCTGTCAAAAGTTGTTTTATAATTGGCTTTCTCGTCTTCCGACCAATTTACATACCCCATTTAAAGGATGAATATCAGTATCAACAGCCAATAGATCTCTTTTTAAGGTATCTTCTGGTTTTTGTTAGATTAATAATATAGATCAGATTTTGGAGTTGCTTTCCTTTTCCTTCCACATTTGCCCTTCCTTTCTGGAGAAAAGGATCCAGTTTCATTCTGTCTCATCAGAATTTGAGAAATGCTCGATTTTCCAACATCAATGGTGGATGAAAATATCTCTTATAATCATGGATCTGGGCCTGTTAAGTGTGATAATCTTTGCTTTATTTCTAGGAGTTACATTGATTTTACTTTCTCTTTCAACAAAAGCAAGCTTTAAAATTCCAAAACAATCCTAATGTATTGTGTAAACCAGTTCTAAGTAGTCGAAATCAAACATCCAGATGACATTAAGGCCGATAAATTACTTTGAGGGACCAGCTGGCAACCAACTTAATATTCTGTGGAAAATTCGCTTTGTCTCCATTAATTTGTGCACTATACTAAACATATTCTAAATATTCTCTTTATTAATTTTATTAGGTAACAATTTAAAAATTCGTTTTTTTCATTAATCTTAGCATCCTGAGTTCAAATACAGTTGAAAGGTTTTTTAATAAACTTCTAAAATTTTCTTAATGCAATGGTAAACAATAATTTAGCTTCCAGGCGCTAACATGTAAAATAATAAGTTAACTTGCAGATTGAATTTGGAACTAATCCTATTTAAAGAATGCAAATCAAATGTACGAAACAATAGTATACTTTAAAATTATTTCAAAAAATGAAGCTGTATTTATAAGTTTACGAAAGACTGATAATAGTATAACAATGAATTAACCACATGTCTTTTTATTTTAAATATCAGCTAATACGAACGAGAGTATTTTAGTTCTATTCAATAAATATTATGCTTTATGCATATTTCTTCACGTAATCACGCCATTAAAAACTGCAAAAAAGGCTTGTTTCATATATATTTAAAATATTTATGTTCGGAATTGAGAAAAAGACGCAAATCAGGATATTTTAAAGCATCAATTTAGAATATATTCCGTAATGACACTTAATAAACGAATCTACTTTTAGAGATATTTAGGTAAATAAAAACCTGATCGGGGAAGAATACGTAATCAAGCCATGATCCAAAATATGTGTCAACTAGCCTTGACCTAAAGACGCATGGCGAATAAATCATAAACATATTAGCAAGTTTTTATCCATAATAAATCGCCAAGATCTTGAGCTTGAAATAACCTTCAAGCTTCGTATCCATTACAAGATTGGGCAAGAGAATAAATTCATAATGCGGAGATCTGGAGTGGTTTTTGGCTAAGCATGCCATTGAGGATGACGGAATAATGAGCTTCCAGTGTGGAGATAAATGGTTTGGCTGAACCTGCCATTGAGGTGAAGAAATTAAAAAAATGTTTTGATGTATCTTCCTCGTACGATAATTTACGTGCTCTTTTTTATTCAATGTTAAACCACCTTACCAAGGTTAAAGCCTCAAAAAATGTTTCTTTTTTTAAATTAAGTCTTACAAACATGAAGCAAAGCCTAGACCTCTGTGACAATTTTTTATTTTACGGCAGGTCAAGGGAATTGCTTTCTACTATTTCCCTAAAAACCAATTTAAATATGCACTTATGTCATCAGTAAAGTATAATTACATAAAAGAAACTACAGAAAATATTTTATAATCATGTTATTTATCTATAATTTTTCAAATAAATATTTGTAAATTCATGAGTGTATCTAAAATACAATTACATCTATATACACAAGTATGAAACAGTAATTTGTATTCATAACAAACTGCCTTTAAGACAATGTTGTTGAATCTCTTATAGTTTATTTATAAATTATATTTTAAATATACGAGTATAATAAAAATAATCGAATATATGAATTGGATATATCTAATGTAATGAAATGACTTACACACTATTTTTCTGTGTGCTCAACTGCCACTGCAATATGCTTTTTCCAGCGAACAGGAAGTTTCTTAATTCCAGAAGAATAAAAGTTATTTGGCTGCTTGTCGACACATTATTGCACAGAGTCAATTCGGAATTCTTTCCTCTTAAAAATTCTGAATTTGTGAAGATCTTTAACTGATGTTTCCATTTTAGCAAAACGTTTGTAAAATTCCCAAGTGTTCTCTGATTGTGGTTCTTCGATCAACATCTATTAGTGCATCAGCACTAGTCAGATTGTCTTCATCACTTAAGTTTCTTGGCCAACTGTCAAGTTCATTTTCAACTCTCAACAAACTGTCTTTAAACCATTTGCATCAATCATATTCTCTAGACTTACCTCCAAACTAATTTCCAAGTCTCGAGTAAGACTAAAACAGAATGGCAGCTTCGTCAATCAAAAATCTGAGATGATCCATTGCGCAACATTGTTGTGAACCACCTTCTCCGACATGTTGAATACTGTTAACATGGGCGACTAATAATAAATAAAATTGTAACCAACAGAATCTAGCTCTATTATTTACAAGTTCAAACATGTATGTGTTTTCCAGTGAGTCATAATTACATTAACGTCTTTACAAGAAGGGAGCATTATAATCCCTGTTTATATGTAAATGTCTTTCTTAATTAAAACTAGACTTGCTGAACGTTAAATTCAGATAATTGGCCAAAACCTATTGAAATAGTATAAAAACTATTAAACCAGAAGAAGAGATAATCTTAAATAAAAAAGTAAAATACTAAATAACGTTTTATTTACAAATCTGAAGTAATAAATAAGAGCTTACTTTGCAACGACATTGCTTGCGATGAGATCTTCGATACATGGATCGTTCGAGATGAAAAGGTGCGTCTCCAGAGAATTCAGTATCGGAACTTTCTCAAGGGCAATCATGAATATCAATCTTTATTGATACCATTTATTATGAAGTATTGCATTTAAAACTTTCAAAGACTAATAAAGTTGGAACCACTAAACAAATGAAGGTCACATTCTTCCTATACATGCCTCGATTCCATCCTCAAGATCATTTCCCATCGTCAAAGACAGTGAGTAGTGAGTTAGCAGTGGTGCCACAATAAACAGACTAAGTAACAGATTTTACTTTAGCAATTAACAATTACCACAATTACAACCCAAGTAAGAGATTTGAGCATCCCGAGACAGCAGCAGCAAAACACTCGCTATCTAAAATTGCAAAACATTTGCTTATGGGTCAGATAACTTGGAGAAATATTTTTAAAGGAAACTGTTTCATATTTACTATAGGACAGCCATAAGCACTCCAGTAAATATGTGAAATACGCTTTTTGAAATAACACCGCATTGTAAAACTATAACATTTTAATTCACTACATAGTACCATCGTTAGGTACACCTCAATACACTAACTTTCAACCCACGCCATCACTTCCAAACAAGAAATTTTTACTCACCCAG